GCAATAGGGGATCATGGGGCCCCTGTGTCCTTGCCCAAACTCAAAAAAGTCTATGAAAAAGGTACCAGGGGCATCTCATGGGGCCCCCTACTGACCCCGACCCTCGGGCAGTGCCCGAGTTTCCAAATGGTCAGTCCGTCCCTGGACACAGCTGATCACATGGTAAAAGGCCGCTGTGATTGGCCTTTTACCATGTCATGTGATCAGCTGTGTCCAAAGGACCCTTCGATCACAGACAGTGCTGGGTGTACACAGCTGGGGGCACGCAGGGGGAGGGGGGGTGCGAGTTCTGGGAGGACGTCATATGACGCCCTCCCAGAACTGGACGATCGTGCTGTCATTCAGCTATAGCGCGGTAGTAAAGTGGTTAAAGTATAACCTAAAGGCAAGACTTTTTTTTCTGTTTTAGATAAGAGAGGGATTGGAACTCCTGTCATATTTTTTTATTGCTGTCTCTGCCCCCCATTAGGGAGATTCTACCTCTCTATTAGTCCTGTTTATCATTACCATTGAGATTGAAAGTGAAAGAAAATACCAAATTTTGGGTTGTCACCAGAACAGGAGTAGCTGGGAAATCTTCCAATGGGGACACTAATTCTGGTGACAACCAGGGATTCCCTCACTTTGGAGGGATTTCCTCTCACTTCCTGTTTTGTTTATGGGACAGGAAGTGAAGAGAAAGCTCCCCAGTGGGGACACAGAAGGCAGAAAACTGAGAGGGGTATATCCCTCCCTTACTCTATCCAAAATAAAAAAAAGGTTTTGCCTTTACTTCTACTTTAAATACTTTCTTGATACCAATCTGAATAAGAAAGGTGGGGGGGGAGAAATACAGACTGGTAGAATTTACAATCTGTTAGAGCGTAATGGAGCTAAAGGGCTCACAATCAGGTTGTAAGAGATCATTCAGAAGGTAGAAGAGCTTACAATTTATGATTGTATAAGACAGCGATACAATAGATGGAGGATAAAATCATCTATTAGAATATATTAGTGAGAACTACAGAATATAGAAGAATGCAACCAGAGAGCAAGGGTGGAATACATGGAGTATCGACCTCGAATGCACCAGGGATATTACTTCTCAGCACACAGCAGCTGCCAAGGGTGGAACGTCCTGTAGATGTGGGTTTGGAGTCGCTGCCCTTCCTATGGCCTCATATCTTTGTTGTAGGAATTTAGAGGGTGCCAGTTGGCTTCCATGCACCCAGGTATTGGCTGGTCCCCCGCCCCCCCAACGAACGACCCTGCCATGTTTCCCAGGCACCGCACCCTGCCGCTGGGTAGAGGGTAGGAAGATCAGTGAACATCCATTCGCTGATCTCCCCTTCTACTGTTCCAGAAGTGACTTCCAGGTGCCAGTGTCCCCAGTATGGCTGGTGAAGAAACTAATGGACTGTCATCTACACTTCATTTGCTTCACTGAAGGGCAGGTGAGACATCAGGGGTCTTTTTGACTATTTGATGTTTCAATAAAGAGAACCTGTCACCAAAAAAAAAATCCATCACATAAAAATAAAAAAAGTTACACCCAAGCACTTCCCCCCCAAACAAAAATACTTGCCGCACACACCAGAGTGAGAGCAATGATTCTAGGCCCATTGTTCATGGCTAACTGTTAATTGATGACCTGTAGGGTCTTTTACAACATTGCCTATGGGAAAATAGGGTACGAATGTTTGTTGCTGTTTCACAGGCACCCGCAATTTTAAGAGTTTTCTATATACTGTATTTGGTGCAACAATGACAATGTTGTGCACAGTGGACACAGGAACATTAAGATCTGTTAATTGATACATGTGAGTTTAATTACAAATTACAGGAGCATCACAAACTTGAAATGCAATTATTTCTTAACCACTTCCCGCCCTGCCAATAAGAAAATAACGGCTGGGCAGGACTCTCGTCGATCCAGGTGGGCGTCATATAATGGCCTCCCCAGATCACGCCTTGCGCGTGCCCGCAGGGCCGCGCTGTGGCGAGATCTGTCAGTCTGTATACCCTGGACACAGCCGATGACAGATCTGTGTACTGGCCCGTTGCCAGTACCATGTGACCTGCTGTGACCAATCACAGCAGGTCACATGACAGTTGTAAACAATGGATGGCTTCCGTTCATATCAATTTTATTTTTTGTACTGTCACTAATCAGTGCCTCTCTGATCATTGTCGCACCAGTTATATGATGACGCTGTACTGCACTGGTGACAGTATGTAAAAAAAAAATTGTGAAAATCATTTTTTTAATTTCTTCATTTTCCAAAAAATTATGACAAAAAAATTACAACTTCAAAAAACTCGCCATGCCACTTATGAAGTACGTCGGACTGTCTACTTTGCAAAAAGGAGTCATTTGGGGGATATCTGTACTGTTCTGACATTTCTGGGCCTCAAGAAATTAGATTGGCCGTCAGTACTTCAGGATTGATCAATTTTCAGATCTATACCATAGTTTGTGAACTCTATAACTTTCCTACAGACTAAATAATAAATACTGATTTGGGTTATTTTCACCAAAGACATGTAGCAGAATACATCTTGGCCTAAATTTATGAAGAACAATTATTTATTTGCAAATTTGTATAACAGAAACAAAGAGAAACTTGGCTGTTTTTCAAAATTTTCAGTCTTTTTTTGTTAATTTAGCAAAAAATAAAAAAAACCCAGTGGTGAATAAATACCACCAAAAGAAAGCTCTAGTTGTGTGAACAAAGTGATAAAAATTTAGTTTGGGTACAGTGTTGCATGATCGCACAATTGTCATTCAAAGTGTGAGAGTGCTGAAAGCTGAAAATTGGCCTGGGCAGGAAGGGAGTAAAACTGCCCGATATTGAAGTGGTTAAATTTTGAGAAGGTGCCAATAATTTTGTCCATTTTAGGGGTTTTGCATGGAATGTGTCAGATTTGGCTTTTTGTTTCTCCACTTTTTTGTGTCATACCAATACAAGTAAAATAAATAAACATAAGAATGCCTAAACATTTGTAATTGCAACAGTTTTCTGTGTGTAGTGGTGCATTGTCTGAAATGCAGGGGAGCCAATATTTTTGGCTATGACTGTATACAGGAGTATATACACTATATTCTATATATACTACAAGGTATTGGGACACCCCTCTAAATCATTGGATTCAAGTGTTCCACTCACCTCCTAGACATGCAGACTGCTTCTACAGACATTTGTGAAAGAATGGGCAGCTCTCAGGAGCTCAGTGAATTCAAGCGTGGTACCGTGATAGGTTGCCACCTTAGCAATAAGTACATCCCTGAAATGCAGAAGTGCACAGTGTGCAGAAGTCACCAACTGTCTGCAAAATCAATAGCTAAAGACCTCCAAACATTGTGTAGCCTTCATATTAGAACAACAACAGTGCGTAGAGAGCTTCATGGAATGGGTTTCCATGACGGAGCAGCTGCATCCAAGCCTTACATCACCAAGTGCAATGCAAAGCGGCGGATGCAGTGGTGTAAAGCACGCCGCCACTGGACTCTAGAGCAGTGGAGATGTGTTCTCTGGAGTGACCAATCACGCTTCTCTGTTTGGCAATCCAATGGATGGGTTTGGCGGTTGCCAGGAGAACGGTACTTGCCTGACTGCACTGTGCCAAGTGTAAAGTTTGGTGGAGGGGGGATTATGGTGTGTGGTTGTTTTTCAGGGGTTGGGCTTGGCCCCCTAGTTCCAGTGAAGGGAACTCTTAAGGCATCAGCATACCAAGACATTTTGGACAATTTCATGCTCCCGACTTTGTGGGAACAGTTTGGGGATGGCCCCTTCCTGTTCCAACATGACTGCGCACCAGTGCACAAAGCAAGGTCCATAAAGACATGGATGAGCGAGTTTGGGGTGGAGGAACTTGACTATCCTGCACAGAGTCCTGACCTCAACCTGATAGAACACCTTTGGGATGAATTAGAGCGGAGACTGTGAGCCAGGCCTTCTCATCCGACATCAGTGCCTGACCTCAAAAATGTGCTTCTGGAAGAATGGTCAAACCTTCCCATAGACACCCTCCTAAACCTTGTGGACGGCCTTCCCAGAAGAGTTGAAGCTGTTATAGCTGCAAACAATATATATAGGAAGGAATGTGTGGTATATAGGGCTGTATAAAGGAAGGTATGTATAGTATTGGGCGGCATGGTGGCTAAATGGTCAGCATTTCCGCCTGGTAGTACTCGGGTCGTTGGTTCAAATCCCAACCACAGCACCACCTGCCTGGAGTTTGCATGTTGTGGGTTTCCTCCGGGTATTCCGATTTCCTCCCACACTCCAAAGACATGCTGGTAGATTAATTGCCTCCTAAGTTGGCCCTAGTATGTGTATGTCTGAATGTGAGTTAGGGACCTTAGATTGTACACCCCTTGAGGGTTAGGGATTGATGTGACTGTACAATATGTATGTAAAGCACTGTGTAAATTGACCTGAAATAAATAAATATAGGACTGTATTTGTGTATGTATAGTATTAGGGCTGTATAATGGAAGGGATGTATAGTATATAGGAAGGTGTATATATAGGGATGTATTTGGGTCTGTGTGTATAGAAGTATATAGGTCTGTATATATAGGTCTGTATATATGATTGAACAGTATATATAAGAGTCCCATCCCTGCACATGGCACTCGCAGTGGCCCCTCCTCCTCCAATCAGAGCACACCTGAACACGATCCGCTCCATTCTCTCCTGCAGCGCCGATCTTTCGGCAACCTCTATACACGTGATTCTGCAGCAGCCGCTCTATTGGCTGACCACCTTTCCCGCCCCCTCCGTACGGCGGCCACTCCTAGCTGAGAGGCTGCAATGCTGTCACGCCCAGCTCCGTTTCAAGCAGGAGACCCCGCCCCGGCCACCGACGTCTCTGACAGCGACCAATAAGCGGCTGCCACACTCCGGCTCCAGGTCCGGCCGAGGGTACTTCCGGCAGGGTTTTCTCTCCTCCTCTCCCCGGCTTCCCTTCTAGTCCAGGTCAGGCGGTGCAGCTGAGCTCTCCTCTCCGGTGCAGACATGACGCGATCCCTCCTCGGCGCCCTCTTCGTGCTGCTCGTAGCCTTCAACGCCGCCTGGGCCTCCGATGTTATAGACCTGACCGATGACGACTTCGAGGCCAGCGTGCGGGAGTACAGCATCATGCTGGTGGAGTTCTACGCTCCCTGGTAAGAGGGGAGGGGACTGTGCGCCCCCTAGGTGATGGGGAGAATGCGGGGTACAGGCTGAACGTTTCCTTCTATAATACAGCACAATTACAGGAGAGGGGGAAGGGAGACACTATATGGGTGGTCACAGTGCCTAGGCTCCCTGCATAGATGGCAGTGAATGGCCACTGTGACTAGGCTACAACATGGCATGAGGTGGCTAGGCCCCCCCCGACTTATCAATGGGTGGCCCCCCCGACTTATCAATGGGTGGCCCCCCCGACTTATCAACGGGTGGCCCCCCCCGACTTATCAACGGGTGGCCCCCCCCGACTTATCAACGGTGGCCCCCCCCCGACTTATCAACGGGTGGCCCCCCCCGACTTATCAATCAACTTATCAATGGGTGGCCCCCCCCGACTTATCAATGGGTGGCCCCCCCCCGACTTATCAATGGGTGGTGGCCCCCCCCGACTTATCAATGGGTGGCCCCCCCCCCCGACTTATCAATGGGTGGCCCCCCCCGACTTATCAATGGGTGGCCCCCCCCCTTATCAATGGGTGGCCCCCCCCGACTTATCAATGGGTGGCCCCCCCCCCGACTTATCAATGGGTGGCCCCCCCCCCGACTTATCAATGGGTGGCCCCCCCCCCGACTTATCAATGGGTGGCCCCCCCCCGACTTATCAATGGGTGGCCCCCCCCCCTTATCAATGGGTGGCCCCCCCCCGACTTATCAATGGGTGGCCCCCCCCCGACTTATCAATGGGTGGCCCCCCCCCCGACTTATCAATGGGTGGCCCCCCCCCCGACTTATCAATGGGTGGCCCCCCCCCCGACTTATCAATGGGTGGCCCCCCCCCCCGACTTATCAATGGGTGGCCCCCCCCCCGACTTATCAATGGGTGTGGCCCCCCCCCCCCCCGACTTATCAATGGGTGGCCCCCCCCCCCGACTTATCAATGGGTGGCCCCCCCCCGACTTATCAATGGGTGGCTTCCCCCCCCCCCCCCCCCCCCCTCCGACTTATCAATGGGTGGCTTCCCCCCCCCCCCCCCCTCCGACTTATCAATGGGTGGCTTCCCCCCCCCCCCCCCCTCCGACTTATCAATGGGTGGCTTCCCCCCCCCCCCCGACTTATCAATGGGTGGCTAGGCTCCCCTGCGTAGCAATGGATGGGTGGCCCGTGTGCCTAGGCAGTGTGTCCCTGGCTGGACTTTCCTGCACAGCAATAGGTGGCCCCATGACTGGGCTCCCCGTTGTGTTGGGTTTACCACGGAGCAATCTGATTCTACAATCACCCTTAGATCTACTACTGGCTCCTAATGAGTCTCTGCCTAATCTATCCAATCAGATGAGCCCTTGCAGTACATCCAGATTGGTACAATCAGATTGTAGTGTGTGTGGGGAGTATTACACAGCAGGCTTTGACTCTTGTGTGGGTTTATAATGGGGCACAACCAGCAAGACCTCTGCATTCAGATGGAGGGAAACGGAAGAATTGGGTGCCATACAGGACACAGGCTGTCTGGGGGATGATAAAGGTGCCAGACTATGCATTCTGATTGTACAATCTCCTCAACAGTGACCATACACAATACAATCTGACCAAATCCTGTACAGTCCCTGACCAATCAGATTGTATAATGCCCTGTGAGGAAGATTGTACACTCATTGTTTAGTGTATGGTCTCTACTTTTAAGAATATTATACAACCAGAGTGCATGTACAAGCTCCTTAAAGATGACCATACACTTTACAATCTGATTGTACAATATTCTTTACGGTGACCCTATAAGATGCATTCTGTCACCTTTAAGGAGATTTTCAGATATTGTACAATCAGATTGTGTTGTGTATGGTCACTTTTTAGGAATTTGTACAGATTGTGTAGTGTGTAAAATCTTCATAAAGGGGACCATACAGTATACAATCAATTTCTGTACAAAGGTGACAATCAGATTGTATAGTGTGCAGTCACCGTAAATGATGTGCATACACCATCCATCCGAGTGGGGGAAGGATTGTACTCGTGTGGGGGGGGGATTGTACTCATCTGAGTGTGGGGGAAGGGGGGGGTTGTACACATCTGAGTGTGGGGGGGGATTGTACACATCTGAGTGTGGGGGGGGGGGGGGGGGAGGATTGTACACATCTCCTTTAGGGTGACTAGTAGACCAGGGTGGGAAGTCTGCGGCTCTCTAGCTGTTGTGGAACTATATTTCCCATGAGGCATTGCATCATTACAAAACTGACAGTTCCAGCGATGACTTGCAGAGGCATGATGGAACTTGTAGTCCTGCGGCTCTCAGGTTGCCTACCCCATACAATCCAATTGTTTTGTCTCTGTACAATCTTCCTAAAGTTGACCAATCAGATTGTGTAGTATAGCGACCTTAAAGAATGTTGTACAGTCAGATGGTTTAGTGACTGGACATCCTAAAGTAGATTGTACAATCAGATTGTATGGTGTGTGTGGGGTCACCTTGACCTGGTAACATTGATTGTTCATGTGATAATCTGGGGTGCCCCCTCCATAGATCCTGGACGGTCTCCTGTATCTTGTGGTGGTATGCAGGATTTATATAGCACCAACCGTGTGCACAGCACTTTACAAAATAAAGGGGGAAGTAAAATTACAGTACAGAAGGAATAGGGAGGGGCCTGCACATGGAGCTCACAATGGAAAGGTGTTCAGATTAAATCGGTGATTGTAACAAATATTTCCTTCGAGTAATGGATTGTACGTCTATCAGATGCGTGTTCAGTGATTTGTCGTTTTATCCCCCCCTTGTATGAAGGAAGGGGGATTCCTCTGTGGAACTTTCTGTTTGCTCTCTGAGGTTTGTTTCACTTTCTCCCGAGTTTGTCAGATCTCCATGTCTGTGATGGGATTTGTAGTTCTGATGAGCCCGGATCTCCATTCTGTACAATGAGGAATTCCCTGCAGAGGACTTCAAATCCCAGAATCCTTCACTCTGCTGTGCTCTGCCTGTTCGTTATGGGTGTGGTCTTGTTGTGGTGTCTGCTTCTGGTTGGCTGTCAGGAGCTTGGTGGCCTCTTTCTATTGGTTTGGCAGATGGCCCAGCTTGTCGGATCTCTCCTCCCCCTCATCCAGGATCCTCACAAGTCAGCCGTGGTCTGAGCTGTCCTGTTGGGATGTGTGGCCACTTCTGTGTCAATCTACTTTTGTACAGTTAATGTTGGCAACTTTCCGGTAATAAAATCGATCATACAATCACATTGGTCAGACGCTTTACACTTCTCATGGCTGAAGTCTAACAGTGACTTTATAGTGTCAGAGGAAGATCTCTGCAAGCATAACTCATCATTTCACTGTAATTATATAGGCTCTCGCTTTAATGCAGGCCATAGACGGGCTGTTTATCGGCCGAATTGTCGGCTGATACAAAAAAATCGGTAGTTGCCGATGCTGCCTCCAATGTCTATGAAAAAAAAGTCCATTTTTTGTGGATTTTCCAGCATGACTGATAAAAAGAAACGAGAAGATCCACAAAAAACAGCCAACGGCATTGCCCCAATAATGGTGTGAATATCTGCTGATTTTTCATGCAGATGATAATTCGGCCGATAAACAACCAGTCTATGGCCTGCATAAGGTCACCAATCTGATTGTACAATCACCTTAGATCTTAGCAAGTATGTGGTAGAAGAGCCTCCATGATTGGATATAAAGAATATATAGCTTAGTTAGAACCTTGTACTAGTTTTGATAGATCTGTTTCTACAGAGATTGATCAGATTGTAACGTGTAGGGGTAAGCCTTGGGGTCACCACACACTACAATCTGTACAATCTCCTTTACACCTACCTACAACTTTGTAGCACAAATGGTTGTTGGTTAGGTAGGTGCTCATATTATAGCTTTGGTAGGTTTAAAGTTGATTGTACAAAGATTGTTTGGTAAGATTGTAACATGTATTGTGACCCTTAGCCTGGCCATACACGAGACAACCCATGCAATCTCCTTTAGATCTACCAGCAGCTCTGAAATATGACGGCCTCTGCAATTGAATGGTAATTGGGTTGTATAGGTATTTCCTCATATTACATAGTTTTGGTCAATCTAAATTAAATTATCCAGGGATTGTACAATCAGATTGTAGTGCGTATGGTTACCCTTAAGGTGACAATGTGCTACAATCTGGTGTTCCAATCTCCTTCTGATGAACTGTGTAGCACCTGATTTGATACTATATGAATGAATTGTTTAGGTGTCCTCATGTTATGTAACGTTGGAAATCTGATGGAGATTGTGCATAGATTGTAGTGTGTAGGGCCACCCTTAAAGTGGCTGGAAAGGTTGAAGGTCTTTTACCGTCATACATTCTATACATGAAGGTAACAAACCTGTGTGCAGCCGTGCCCCCAGCCCCCTCGATACTTACCTGAGCCCCAGCATGATCCTGCGATGTGAATGACAGCCTCAGCTGCCCCGTGTCTCTGCAGTGATCATCCGCAAAAAAAATCGAGTCACCAAAACCCCACATTCTCCGAAATGAATACATTACTTGACATCACTTCTGAAGTTATATTCTGTCATACGAGAGTTTTCGGAACTTTAGTAACCTCTTCCTTTTTAATATGAGACTAGCCAGCAAAAAACGGACTGTGGGGGGTGGCGGCCTCGTGGTGTGTGGGGGGTGGCAGCCTCGTGGTGTGTGGGGGGTGGCGGCCTCGTGGGGGGTGGCTTTGTGGTGTCGACCAGCCATTAGTCTAATCATAATCTACATACTCTGCACAAAATAGTTTATGGGATGTCTGAAGGAGATTGTACAATCCTCTCTAAAACCAACCATAAACTATACAATCTCCTTTACATCTACCATCAGCGATGTAGTACAAGGGCCTGTCTGATTTGATGCACCTATGAGTACTTGTAAACCCTCACAACCCAGTGAAGGGACTGGCCTCAGGTGATAGAGGCATCAAATCCTCCTATGCAAGTTGTAGCTGTTTATCTACAGCTGTCTGTCCTCTGCATCCATTACAAGTGCGGAATGTACACCGGATCTCTCGGCTCTGAAAAGCAGGGGGCGGGGAGCTGAAGTCACATCAGTGAGGAAAGCTCTGAGAGCTGGTGGGAGGGCGGTGGTCTGGGGGGGAGGGCTCTGGGCAGTGGTCTGGGGGGGAGGGCGGTGGTCTGGGGGGGGAGAGGGCTCTGGGCGGTGGTCTGGGGGGGGAGGGGGCTCTGGGCGGTGGTCTGGGGGAGGGCTGTGTGCACAATTGCCTGATATATAGATATCTTGGCTCTTCAAGAAGCGTTGGATAACTTTGTTTCTAGCACAACTTTCACATGACCTGTTCCTCAATAGCCACAGAGGAGAGGTCTAATTTCTGTGCACCAAATGCCTTTACAAACCCAGATATTAGCTTGTAAAAGTATCTGACATTAACACTGCTGTATATAGCCTGAGCAGGAGGGGGCGGAGACGAGACCTGTCACCCTGCACAAAGAGAGGTCAGCCGTGGCCGGTCTTTATTAGAGGAAGCTCCTGCAGATAGTAGTGTCACACTGGATTACTACAAAGATCACCAAGATTCCAGGAAGGATCCCCCTGACTCTGTATTGGACAATTCTTATCCCAGAGTTCAGCTCTGCAGTAGAATACATGGTATAACCGGGGCGGCTCCCATAGCTGTGAGTGTAGAAAGCTTTTATCCCCAAAACTTTCTGAACAGGTAGTTCTCCAGTAGAGGAACCTTCTAGAAGGCGGAGAATTCAGCCGGGTCAGATGTGCTCCTTATGGGTTGGGGCTTATTCCTAGCAGCAGTCACACTGATCACAGCCGTGGTGTGCGATGGGAGGAAAGCTGCATGTGTACTAGTCAGGGCGTGTCACCATTTACTTTGCAGACCTTTGTTGAAATGTCACAACTGACATTCAGTTACATTCTATTCACACCCTGACGCTGTGATCTGGTAGTTTGCAGCACAACCCGCTGCACTGAGGGAAAACTGCATGCAGTACTTCTGTGCCCATGGCTGCAATGCAGTAGTGTGATGTGACCCCATAAATGAGGCAGATCGCCCTGTCTATGCATTGAGTCTCAGCAAGACTGTCCAGCACAGCCAGCTCTGATTGGTCGGATGGGTCTTTAGGTCTTCATGTCTCCCTCAGTGGGGACGGGGGTCTCTGCTAATAAAGTGTGATCCACATGCGTTTCCGTGTAACATAGGGCACCCCATTCATGTGAATGTGCTTCCCTATGTGCGTTTGTCACTCCAAAGAAACTCGGGGTCCAAATTGTGGCCCTGAGCCAGGCATGATTTGATTTATTTGTTGTGATTCTCATGCAACAATAGCAGCAAAATCGCACCAAGTTAGAGGTGCCCTTCAGGATGAACATCACCAAAGTGCACGTGTTGCTGAGATTGGGAACTAGACTGATTCATGCTGCTTTTGCCTGCGATTCTTTATTGCCCAAGTGTAAGCAGTGCCTAAAAAGTGAGCCTGGCGTCACATCTATTTTTCACGTTTTAAAGGATAAGTTCAGTTTTTAGAAAAATAAATATATTTTTTTCTTTTTTTTTGCAGGTAGAGTGCGTTTATTTTTGTCTGCAGGAGCCTGGAAAGCATTGCACCAGTGATCAGTAGATTGCTGATGCCATGCAGGTCTGCTGCAGATCTGTCAGAATGTCTGCTTGCCGTACGGGATGTATGAGCCAGCAGATATTCTCCCAGGAAGCTTCAATGTACTACAACTGTGCTGCACAGCGTCATGGTAGGTCATTGAAAACTACAAATCTACAGCCGCTGAGGCTGCTGGGGCTTGAAGTTCATTCATTCACGGAAGTTTGTGAATGAACAACATGGCCGTGTGGGCAAAGCCCTGCATGGCTGCCCTGGTTTCAAATTTGACAGTATGGGGAGAAGTCTCCCCGTGCTGTCGAGGGGGAGGGGGGGGCTCGGCGACCTCAACTATGGGAACATGTGACATGTTCCACTGTAAAACTGGGTGGAACATGTAATGTAGCATGTTCCCAAAGGTGAACTTATCCTTTTTAAAGGACAGCCCAAGCTCTTTTGTCTGTACTTCTCCTGTGAATGACAGGACTGCAGTTTGTTCCGGGAGGACAGAGCAGAGGACCGTGACTGACGGTCAACTCTCTGCTCAGTGTGGCTGTGAGAACTCTTTATCGGCAGTCATGTGATCGGTGTTCTCACCCTTAGAGCCGGCGGGGGGACAGATACATCGGACTGATGCTGCATCCACCTAGGTAAGTATAATGGGGAGGGGGGGATAAAAGCCCTACTTTGCTTTTAAGCCCTGGTTCACACTGATGTGGTGTGGAGTTTGCAGCGTTTTCTGTGCAAATTCTGCACCACATCAGATTCGCACCCTGTTTCAATGCAAACCGCTTCAGGTGTGTATGTGAACACTCCAAAAGCAGTCCAAAAACGCAGTGCGACGTGCAGAATCAGATCGCTTAGGCATGAATACCCATGCGATCCGATTCTAGTGCGGACCAAAAAAAGGGTCCTGCATGTTTTTGGTGCGATTAGAGCCATCCAATCGCACTGCACACAAATCGCATGTGATTTGCACAGGAGTGTGGTTCCTGTGCGAATCACATGGAATATACCACACCGCATATATGTGAACCCAGGCTGAGTAGTTGTAAACCCTTACATATACCCAGTAAAGTGACTGGCCTCAAGTGATAGAGAAAACAAATCCTACAAAAGTTGTACCTGTTCATCTGCACTCTTTTCTGTTTATATTGCAGCATTTATAAAGCTTTTCTAAGATTTCAGAAAAGGGGAGAGCTGAAGTTACACACTGCAGTGAGAGCTCTGAGAGCTGATTGGAGGGAACACTGCAGTGAGAGCTGATTGGAGGGAAGAGACCCCCTCTCTACACAGAAACAAAGCTGAGGCTGTTGATCTGCTGGAGGTCCCCTCCCTTGTCACCTTTTTCTTTTGGGGTCAGGAAAACTTGTCAGAAGTAACTCATGCTGATAGCAGAGGAATGAGGCAGCAGACAGAAATAACACTTGGTGCTCTGGACTGAGACAAGTACATGTTATAGAGCGAAATGCTTTGTTCATATTTCATGTCTGAGGTTTACAGCCACTTAACTACATGCAACACCATTCCTGGCATGTAATGTCTATCGACCAATCGCAGGACTCCCACTGGCAGCCTTTACTTTCCTCTCCGGGAGGATGGTGTCATCTTTGTTCAGTGATCATTCAGTATCACCATCCACTTCTTGGACTGAGAAATTGTCTGAGATGAGTCCTGTCGGTCCTGGCGCCTGTGCAGCTCTGTGTTTGTGACACATCAGCTCTGTGATAGCCTGGCAACTGCACAGATATTCTGCAAGGCTGTGCCTAACCTTGGATCCTGGCAGAGCCCTGCAGCACATCTGCACACATGGGGGGGTCTGTGAATGCACACAGTGATGTCTGAGACTTAACTGCACAGTTGTCATGAATCTATAAACTCGTGCATACATGTCACAGGGCTCTACCAGGACCCGAAGCCCTGCAGCACATCTGCACAAAATCAAAACTGAGAGAAGCCGGGGATAGAAGGTCGGGGATATTTTTCTGCGAGGGTCTGCGTCAATGATAAACGTACAGTGGAATCTCTTAATAGATGCTGCTGTGTATTGAGATGTGAGGAATTGGCACTCTTTATAAAACAAATCGAATATTTATCAATCATTGTAAGGCATAATCTGAGTTCTCGGCTGACATCCGTCTCTCATGTTAATTTGCTGTGAATGTTTCCTTGTTTTCCTGTTTTTCAGGTGTGGACACTGTAAGAAGCTTGCTCCAGAGTATGAAGCTGCTGCCACAAAGCTGAAGGGAACAGTTGCACTGGCAAAGGTATTATGCCGATTTTAGGCACAGAATGTGTTGGGGCAGGGATAGAGGTGGGGATCGACCTGGGGAATGGGGAACATGGAGAAATGAACTAGCAAGCCCCTAACAAAATCTAATAAAACAAATGTTGCTGTAAAGATGATTTTTGCCTACTTTAAATGTTCGCTTCAGCCAGGGACTGGGCATTCACTTTCATTCACTATTTTAAATTTCATCTCTAGGGAGTAATATATGTAGGGTAGTGTCCATGGAGGGCATGGTGAAGGAGGTCAGAGCACATTGCACCACTCTGCATCAGAGAACGGCTTTTGTCCTGCTGAGACCACTCCAGAGGAGCTTCTTTGGCAGACCCCACTGGCCCTCCTTTCTCATCCAACCCATATGATTTCACACAAGTTCCTTGGAAAGACTAGAGAGGGCAGGCAGGGATCAGCCACCACACTGAGGGGGACAAGAACCTGAACCTGCCTGAGTGTTGTCAAAGCAGACGGCAAATCCTAGATGGCAGCAGCATTCTCTGCCCTGAAGCTGCACATGAGCAAGGCATGCTGCAGGGCAGAGACTGCCTAGGATTGGCTTTGACCGCTTCCCAGTTGGAGAGCTCAGGCACTGACCACGCCTGAGCTCATCACTTCTGTGGACTTCTCTACCTCCCTGTGGGAGAAGCACTTGAGGGTTGGAAAAGCAGGGACAGGGATGCGATCTACCAGTCACCTGCCCAGGGTTGAACAGTGATTGCCATCAAGGGGTTGCCAAGCCCCATTTTGGGGCATCTGACTTTTTAAGGCTCTATTTAAAACATCGCAGACCTTTATAGAGATGCAAGATTGCCTGCTGGGGAGTGCAAGACCTAAAACCTCTTGTGTGTTAGTTGGGTTCATAGGAACTACCTTGTCACTATTGTAAAGGATACATTCACCTTTTCAAAACAATGATGCACAATTTTGCAGGTGAAAAAATGTCATTTTTAAATTTTAATTGGAAGCCTGTAAAGCATTGCACCCGCAATCAGCAGATCATGGGTGCTATGCAGGGCTCTTGCAGACTCTGTAAGCTGTCTGCTCATACCTTGTATGTGAAGTCACACAGTGACAGGAAGCCTCAATGAACTACCACAACGCTCAACAGCACAGTGGTAGTTGCTTGAGAACTATAATCCGACAGCCACAAAGGCTTTCTATTGGTGTTGGTTTTCCATTCACAGGCGTGCCTGCAGCAATAACATGTTACACCCTGACTATGGGTGTAACATGCTGGAGAAGGTGAACTTATCCTTTAAACCTCAAAACTATGTTTTGCAAAGAAAAAGGTTAATGCCTCCCCTCTTGCAGCCTGTGATGCCAATGTGATGACTAACTGCACCCTTTAGAGCATTTTAGGGTGTAATATGGGGCCAAGTTGACCTCATCCCTCTTAAGTGTGTGGTGGCTCTTCTCCCCAGCAGCAGCTGTCAGTTCTGAGTTTTGTGTGTGGCTCCCCCTGCACATCGAAGTGCTTCATCCCCAGAAATCTGAATAAACATTAAGCCACCACAGTAGCTTGGTACAGACATGGGATTGGAGTTCGTTTACTGGAGCCAGAGCAGTGCTTTGGTGATCTGATCATGGATGCAATGCCGTGCAGGCTCACTTGCAAAAAATGCATTTATTCTTGCAAAAGTTAGACTCTTGAAACATTTTTTTCATTGTGGCAAACTTTAGGCATGTTGAATGCTTTGGAAACTGGTGTAGTGGCACTGCTACCTTCCTTCAATCCTCAGCCCCAGCTGTTGCTCAGACTGAGGCTGCCAATGCCTCTATGAACCATAGACCACTGGAGGAGCAGTCGGCACTCGGGTAATTATCCTTTATTGTAATGGCATGAGACAGCTGTACACGCAGCCTGTTGAAATTGACAAGCCACTGGATGTACAAGCGCACAGCCATGCATCTGTCTGCATCCTGATCCATGCACTGGACATTCAATGTGTGTGAAGGTCCATGCGGCCACCAGCCCATTGATTTCAACATACTGCCTTCACACCCTTCCATGGCACACCTGTACATCCCGGGTGGCTGAAGACAGCTCTTTGCACGGGCGTACAGATACACAATGTGAATGAGGCCTTAATTCTATTCCACTTTACATTGGTCACCAAGGAAGTGTAATAGTTCATGTGAATGAATTAAGGATTGCAAAGCAGCAGTAAGTGATGGGTCAGATTGGTCATCTAGTGACAGATTTTAGAACACAAGCTGGTGTTGGCAGCTGTAACATTGGTCACCCTATAAGTACAGGGAATGTCCACTCTAGTCTTTCAACTGACTGAAGAATGAGACTCAAATTGAGCGTGCCAGGTGTCCAATCCACTTTAAGAGCCAGTTGGCGCCACAAAAACGTGCTCCAGATCCGTTCCAGGTGTTTCTGCATTGACCTTAAATTTTTTGATGCGTTTCAGGCTTTTTTCGTTTTTTTTTTTTTTTTTTTTTCTTCACTGTACTTGGGTCTGGTGTGTTTATGATGCAGTAGGTGTGTCCTGGTGTGGTTTTGATGCTTTTACCACATTCCAGTACAGTTCTGTGCAGGAGCAATTCAACCCTTTTTTTTTTTTCCTGGAACTGAATTACTGCAAGCACTGGTATGAACTATGACCTTGAAAACCATGTAACCTACTTTCTATGTATTTTAGTTGCGGAAAAAAATGTCCTTGAATGTATGTGGTGTGAACTAGCCCTAAATTCTCCTATGGTTATCAGGGTATAATGTTCCTAATCAGGGTTTATAAAAGTTGTCCAATCCAATTATGTATTGTTTGAACATTGGTCAGAAAGGCCAATCCAGTATCAACCTACAGTATTTGCCTACCAGTGAATAAATGTCATAATCTAGCTTTGCTCCTTCATAATTACGTGCTGTGATGGTAAATTGTTGAATGTTGGCAGAAAGAGAAAGTGAAACTAAGCAAGTTAAAGTACGAAATGCAATAACCCAGGAAAACCAGAATGAACTTGTTGGTTGCTATTGTCTACTAGGTGTTCCCATTTTTCTGCCTTGCTGACTACAGATCTGTACATTTGTCTTGCTAAATTTTAAACTAGAATTTAATATATCTTTGTTAGGTGGACTGTACAGCAAACTCAAACACTTGCAACAAATATGGAGTCAGTGGGTACCCCACTCTTAAAATCTTCAGAGATGGAGAGGAGTCTGGTGCTTATGATGGGCCTAGGAGTGCCGGTAAGAAATTCTGCAAGCGTTGCGACAGTTTGCTCATCAAGAGCTCATAGACTTCTAGAAAGACTTGCTGAAACATTGTGTGTGACTAATAGTAAAGTATTACATAATAGATCTGATACTGCAATAGCGAATTACAGGTAGTAACGGCCAAATGTAAATGAAATGCCAATTATCCTTCGCTTTAAGTTTTTTTGTGCTGTGATCTGAAGTGGAGCTGTGACAACTACCTGCTATAAACAAAAGGTGACAACACAGAAAATGCCCTTAATTGCGCAATTTAGACTGTTGTGTATTCTAACAAAGTGTTACGGAGATGCATTTGGGAGGGGGGGGGGAGCCTGCTAGTGAAGGCTGACAATCTGGGAGAGGGTACGGAGACTCTGGGAGAACAACCCTCCTGTAGTGGTGCTGCTGCCTTGCACTGTAGGGGTTAAATGCTTTTAGGTCTTGGGTTTGGAAAAATCAGCTTTACTTACCTGACCTCTCCCCTGGCATCCAGCGCACTGCTCTGGTGGGGAGTTTCCTTCAGTGTCCTGGTGTCCAGTGCAGGAATATGGGCTCTGCATTGAACTCGATGGCATATGAGGGTGTCAGCCTGTTTTTGCAATGTAGCTGTGGGGACCTTCGGGAGTGATTTTCCCAGGCCTCTTGACCTAAACGAGCATTTGACCTTGTGCAGGAGTCCCACTGCAAGGGAGCATTTGTTTTTCTGGCGTTCAACTTGAAGGACTGTTGCTACAGATGTTAAGATTGTGACTGTTTCCTTACAAAGGAACTTGGATGAATGGCGTCTCATTAAAAGTGATGGTTACTTGCACAGCTAAGGCTGCCAATTGTGGGGTTTTTTTTTTGTGTTTTCCCCCCATTATTCCCTTTATGATGGAAGGTAAAATGAACTGAGCTTGGTTTTGCAGCTTTAGCATTTGTTGGTAAAGCTGTACACATCTTTGCAACTACTTGGTGTATCTGGGTGAATTATACCTTGTTTTGGGAAAAATCAAGCCTTTGGTAAAAGGGGTCCATTTATTTAGGGCAAATTTTCCTTTGATAATTAGTGTATCATTACCATGACCCACCGCAGTCTCCTCCTGGCAAGCACGATCATGGGATCACTTTGCTTGGCTGTCAGTGATCATGTGGTTGGGAGCTGTTCTTTGCTTTGTATCTTTTAGGTTACTTTGCGGTAAAGCAGAAATACCTGTAGGTTAGTGTTTTTAACCAAACAATGCTATACATACAAACTACTTGTAGGAAAACAATAAGACATGCAGAACATTACAAATGCATACCATGCACCCGCAACTCAGCCTTCCTAGCAAATGAGTATTGATTGTCTGTGCTAAAAAGTTGCCTAACTTGGGTTATAGCTTCATGACTTTTATAGGCAACCAGGAGGCCAGGTTATTCAAGTAATTGCAGAAACACACAAGTTCTCTCATAGATTTAATGGCCCCTCTGTGCGAAGTCCCCACTTGCGTTCTTTGGTCTTCTGGGTAGAAGGAATTGGACTCAATGTCGTTTTTTTTGGATCACCTTTCTTGTGTTCAGCACAAGGCTGTTATCTCCTTTCTTGCTTTCCCCCCATTTCCTGCCAACATCACTTCTGCTTAACCACTTGCCCTCCTGAGGATTTACCCCCCTTCCTGACCAGGCCATTTTTTGCGTTTATGGCGCTGTTACTTTAACTGACAGTTGCGCGGTCATGATACGCTGCACCCAAATTAAATTTGTCCTTTTTCCCAAAAATTGAGCTTTCTTTCGGTGGTATTTATTTCAGGTACTTATATAGCGCTGTCAATTTATGCAGCGCTTTACATATATATATATATATATATATATATATATATATATATACATACATACATACATACATACATTCACAGCAGTCCCTAATCCTCAAGGGGTGTACAATCTAAGGTCCCTGACTCATTGATACATACACATATTAGGGCCAATTTAGACAGGATCCAATTAACCTACCAGCATGTCTTTGGCGTGTGGGAGGAAACCGGAGCACCGGGAGGAAACCCACGCAAGCACAGGAAGAACATGCAAACTCCATGCAGGAGGCGCCATGGTCAGGAATCGAACTCATGACCCATTTACTGCAAGGCGGACGTGCTAACCACTAAGCCTCTGTGCCGCCTGTGCGTTTTTGTTTTTTTTGCTCTATAAAAATAAAGCCCTACAGTTTTGAGTAAAAACAATATGTTTGACTTTTTTAGTAATAAACCTGTCCAGTAAAAAAATTAAAATCAAATTTCATCATAAATGTATGCCAAAATTTATTCTGCTACATCTTTTGCTAAAAAAAAAAAAAATCCCAATACGTGTAAATTGGTTTACGTGAAAATGATAGCGTTTACAAATGGCGGTATTGATGCTGGAATTTTTTTTTTTTCTTTTTCTTTCTAGTAATGGCGGTGATCAGCAACTTATAGCGGGACTGCGGCAGGCATTCTGACACTGGGGGGAACTGACTTGGTGTCGCATCCCCAGTGACACCAATCGTGATCAGTGCTAAAAAAAAGCACTGACACTGTACTAATGGCACTGGGCAGGAAGGGGTTAACATGAGGGGAGATCAAAGGGTTAATTGTGCACAGGGAGTGGTTTACATAGGGGACGGTGTGTGTGGGCTTCACTATAATCACACTGCTCAGGATGGCTGTGCACAGCCATCCAGCAGTATGCCCGAGCTGACAGGGAGGACTGTTGGTAAACAAAGCAATCCTCCTCCCGTTGGAGATGCTCGGTAATCACTGGCTGGGACCTGGTGATTGGTGGCCGCGAATAGTGGTGGCGCGGGTAGGGCGCGCACGTGCCCCCTAGCCAGAAAAACAATGGCAAATATAAGTGATTTTGCTCACCCCTGCTGCTCTGTACCAGTTTATCTGCTATAGGGCGGTTGGGAAGCGGTTAACTAGCCTTGTTGAACCATTTAAACAGGATAATTGGCATCTGAATAGAGGAAGCCGAGCTCCTGAATTCTAGAATGTAGGCAAAATGTAGTAGTTTTTATATATATATATATATATATATATATATATATATATATATATATATATATATATATATATATATATATATCTTCTAAACTAGCCATGGTAACACTGGACCATGACCACTTGGTCAGAACTGACCTGGAGCGGTCAGTGACATTGCTGGGGGTGCACTCTTGCCAGGAAAGGGCAATGCATCTGAAATATGGCCCATCTCTGTCCTGCCACATATATGCATATGGCTGACGGTACGGGTTAAATCCATTTTACATGCAGGTTTAGTGCAAATTATGAAAAGGGAGGGGAGAATATTTCTACCAAAATATTCCAAATATTAGAAATGCTTTGCCGTAGTTTGCTATGAGTGTGTCCGCTTTTCTTTCTTTAGATGGGATTGTCAGCACTATGAAGAAGCAGGCTGGGCCCGCATCAGTGGCTCTGCGCTCTGTGGAAGAGTTTGAGAAATTTGTATCCGATTCTGATCCCTCTGTGATTGGTGAGTGTAAATCTCTCAGCTCTATAGAAAATGCCTTAAGGACAAGGAGCAGTGTAAGAATGTGTCCTTCCTGTTGTAGGCGTCTTCCGTGATCTGTACAGCGATCCTCATCAGGAGTTCCTGAAGGCTGCCAACAGTCTGAGGGAGAATTACCGGTTTGCTCACATGGATATTGAGGAGCTGGTGAATAAATATGACTCAAATGGAGAGTAAGTGCACCTGTCTGACCTGCAGAGGAGTTATAGAACAGAAGCTGATTATATAGATTAACCTTTTATGATTTTCATAGGGGTGTCGTTCTGTTCCGTCCACTTCGTCTTGCAAACAAGTTTGAGGATAGCACGGTTTCCTTCCCAGCAGATGAGAAAATTACAACACATAAAATTAAGAAGTTCATCCAGGACAACATGTGAGTTATTTGGTTTTGTACATGGAAAGAACCAATCTGCTCTTATTTTTTTTTTTTTTTAACTGCACCAACTTAACTTGCCTTCTTGAATTTCACTTAAGTGGCTTAATGTACAATGTCCTTTTCTATTTTTCAGTATTAGATTAGGGTTAGTCTAATCATCCAGATGGGTTTTCATATGCCCCTGTGTGGTAGCTCAGATTGGCACCAGGGATGGTCTTGGTCTCGATTTACTCCTGCATCCTGCTTGAGATCAAATCCTATACTACATTCTTTGCACTTTTTTGCAGGGTAAAATGCATTTTTGTTTTTTATTTTTTTTTTTTTTTTTTCGGAACCTGCACCGCTTTGCACCTGTAATTATTGGATGACATGTCCTCCAGCTTTCTGTACAGATTTTCATTTAGAACGCTGGAGGAGATGTGGCAATGGACTACAAGTGCGGATCAGCCATGGTGGCTGGTGGGACTTATTCATTCATAGATATGTGATGCAACTGTGTGGGCACAGTTCCCTCGTGTCTTGAAAAGGGAAGTAAGGTAATCGCCTCCAACACAGATGGCAAGAAACCTGATGGGGATTGTATTCCCTAATCTATCCAGAACAAATGTAACAAGTTCATAAAGCTCTGTGACAGTTGTTATCCTCAAGGTTTAACTGTTACCAATTTTTCCATCCCTTATGATCTGGTCACTGTAAAATGGTTACATTGTTTGAGTTTATCATTTTACAGGGACATGAAGTGAAAAATCAGTTACTATGTGTATAGGCATAGTTCTGATCCCAAAGTTTCTCTAATTAGAGTTTTCAGGTTCACAGATCACAGCCTGATTTTCATTTTCTGGCTAAAAAGCAGCATCCTTTTGACCTCCAGAGCTGATCGAAAATGCATTGTCTCCCTTAGCAGTCTTGTGGGAGGATGTAGTCTATTACTGCAGAGTAGAGTTGCTCACGCAGACCCATTTCTGTTTTACAGACTTTAATTTTGATTTTATATTCATTTTTTAGTGGGTGGCTTTTCGGCATTAACAAAGACCTACCTAGTTATTCTGCAGTTGTATGCAGGAAATCTTCATGTTCAGTGAAGATGAAGGGTTATGCTGCTGTTGGAGGGCCTTAATGAGCATTAATGTGCTGAGATGGTGTTCATCTGAAATGGCATCCAGCACACCTTTCCAACTCGGGATGCACTGCAAAAATGAACACGTTTTTATTTTGGTGTTGGCAGACACTTTAAATGAACCGGCCTCCTTACCACAATGCACAGGATAATGTATGCTAATGCAGGGGTTAAAATTTCGAGTCCAGAACTACTAACCGGTCCCAAAACGTACTCTCCACCAGTTGCCCCACCCGTGGTCTGCCCCAAACCCCGCCCCCATCCACGCCACCTTAATGCTTATGAAATTACATTTTTCTTTAGAATAGTCCAAAATATAAAACTATATACAGTAATGTATATCCCCCTCCCCTGTACTCCATTATAGTGATATGACGTGTATACATTAATGTATATCCCCCTCCCCTGTACTCCATTATAGTGATATGACATGTATACAGTAATGTATATCCCCCTCCCCTGTACTCCATTATAGTGAGATGACATGTATACAGTAATGTATATCCCCCTCCCCTGTACTCCATTATAGTGAGATGACATGTATACAGTAATGTATATCCCAGCTCCCCTGTACTCCATTATAGTGATATGACATGTATACAGTAATGTATATCCCCCTCCCCTGTACTCCATTATAGTGATATGATATGTATACAGTAATGTATATCCCAGCTCCCCTGTACTCCATTATAGTGATATGACATGTATACAGTAATGTATATCCCAGCTCCCCTGTACTCCATTATAGTGATATGACATGTACACAGTAATGTATATCCCCCTCCCCTGTACTCCATTATAGTGATATGACGTGTATACAGTAATGTATATCCCCCCTCCCCTGTACTCCATTATAGAGATATGACATGTTGTATACAGTAATATATATCCCCCCCCCCCCCCCCTCCCCTGTACTCCATTATAGAGATATGACATGTATACAGTAATGTATATCCCCCCTCCCCTGTACTCCATTATAGTGATATGACATGTACACAGTAATGTATATCCCCCTCCCCTGTACTCCATTATAGTGATATGACGTGTATACAGTAATGTATATCCCCCCCCCTCCCCTGTACTCCATTATAGTGATATGACATGTATACAGTATGTATATCCCCCCTCCTCTGTACTCCATTATAGTGATATGACATGAATACAGTAATGTATATCCCAGCTCCCCTGTACTCCATTATAGTGATATGACATGTATACAGTAATGTATATCCCAGCTCCCCTGTACTCCATTATAGTGATATGACATGTACACAGTAATGTATATCCCCCTCCCCTGTACTCCATTATAGTGATATGACATGAATACAGTAATGTATATCCCAGCTCCCCAGTACTTCATTATAGTGATATGACATGTTGTATACAGTACTTACTGTCCCCCCGAGTCCCCCGCGGCGGTGGAGAGGGTGTCTCCTCTCAGTGGAGGAGAGCGGACCTCTCCTGCACCTGTCCTCTCGGCGGTGGTACCGCGGAAACTGGAAGTTGTAAACCGAAACTCTGCTTCACAATGAGGCTTGGAGTGCAGGTGCAGTCGCTCAATGCTTCATCTGTGCTCACCACTTGCCACAGAGGAATTTCTCCTCGCATTTGGCGAGTGGGCGAGCGGCTTTTTCAAGCCCTGTGCTAATGCACCAAACCGCAACTATGTGAATTGGGCCCTAAGGGTGCTTGCCTCTTTCACTTGCCTTTCTCTCCTAGCTTGAAACAGTGCCTGTGCTCCCCTCCCCTCAACTTCCTTTTCACCGCACTTGATTGACAGCAAGAGCCAATGGCTCCTTCTGCTGTTTGAGTCTGTGTGAAGAGGAAGCAAGGGGAGAAGTGATGCAGCTTTGCACAGCACTGATCTTTTCTCCACTCTCTTCCCCTTCACACAGGTGAAGGGGGGGCACAGGGAACTTTAAATTTTTTTCTTTTTTTTTAACCATAATGCAAGCAATGCATTAAGGTAAACATTTTTAGGTTTCGTATCACTTTAAACCTCCTCCCACCCCATCCTAAGCCCTATACTAATTGGCCTGTAGATGAAAAATATGTATACTTGCCGATTCCTGTGGTATTGCCCGTCTGTTCTAGAAACAGAAAAGCAAGAAGTTAGTTGCTGAGCAAAGTATTGCTTAACGTTGGAGACCTTCTTTGGCCAACAATTTACTGTGTAGTTTAACTTTTTTTATAGATTTGGAATCTGCCCTCACATGACAGAAGATAACAGAGAATCAATCCAAGGAAAAGACCTGCTTGTGGCTTACTATGATGTAGACTATGAGAAGAACCCCAAGGGCTCAAACTATTGGAGGAACAGGTGAGCTGCTCTTCGTTTTATTGTGCAGGATACATCTTCATATGTATTAGGATGCCCAGAGGTGTGATGTGACCTTTACCTGGATCAGGTGATTATGCATGTTCTCTGGTCTAACTATTCTGCGTGCATTTCATTGAAAACCTAATACGATTGCCTCTGCCTCTCCTCCACTATGGGTCCTAATCAGTGTTTCTTATTCTTGGATGGACAAGCCAAGATTGCGAAATGGCAGTTTGATTTTGCCTGCTTATCTGACTGCCCTCTTATCTCAGCGGCTGATATTTAATGTTTGCTTGTAATTTTATTCAGTAAACTTGGCTGATAAAAAAGATACAAGTAGTATTCAGAAGTGTATGTCTTGAGATAGCAATGTACACTTTAAAGTCTGCAGGGAAACCAGGAGGTTTCAAACTGAGCACTCAATGCACATTTGCGTAAAATGGGTTGCCCGTAGGGATTTGTTTTTAGACGTTTCCTGCTCTGAAAATTTAAATAAAACTGTCATAATGTGGTTAGATCACATCTATATTTTGTATACAAGACCTGTGCTAAGGTGTTGCAAACCAGAAAAGGAGAGGTTAACACAATAGGCAGATTTAAATAAAATGTCAGTGTAGTGCTTAATTGATACATATAACTATTTGTAACTAGTCACCCACCAAAGGTGAGAAGTTAAATATAGATAACACAAACTAATTTATGGAAAAAGTCCAGATAATCTGCAATTGGTGCTTTAAATGAAGCCAGAGACCAAAAGGATAGTCCTTCACCTTCCACACAGCCTCTTGCCAGAAAATTTGACCACCTGAAGGACTGGTCAAACAATGCAGTTTTCAGGCTCAGCTGATGTACCAAGGATTGGCAGATGGGTCTCCCAGAAAATCCAGATAATACACAGAATAGCCTCCGAATCATATAGTAGCTAAGATGGCAGATGACTCTCCACACAGTGAGTACTTTGAAGACGCTCACACATTTACTTTCTTGAATTTTGTGACGCTGCAGCCTAGGAAGCAGACTCTTGGAGCTAAAAAAAAACTACATATCCCATGGTACCTTGCTGCCTGCAAGCGGTGATTCCTGTACTGACTCCTCAGCAGCTCTGTAGTTCAGAAGGCGCTCTGAAGTTTGTGACACAGCCTACTCATAGGACATAGTGAATACATGTCACAAGATTCAAGGAAGTAAATGTGTGAGGATCTTCACAAAATATTCACTGTGTGGAGTCTCTTTTGCCATCTAGAGCTATATGATTTGGAGGATATCCTGTGTATTCTCTGGATTTTCTGAGGGACCCATCTGCCAGTCCTGGTACATCAGCTGAGCCTTGTAACTGTGCTGTTTGACCACCCAAAGGACTCGTCATTTTCTGTTATGAGGCTGTGTGATTGGGTGGAAGGTGAGGGACTCTCTATCCTCTTGGTCTCTGGCTTCATTTAAAGCACCATCACTTCCAGATTATGTGGACTTTTTTCATGGGTTAATTTGTGTTCTCTATATTTAACATCTCCCCTTTAGTGGATGACTGGTTATGAATAGTTGTGATCTGTCAGTGCAGTGCTTGACGATACATCTCTATATGATGCCATTGTAAAAGAAGCTTTTCATAAGAGAAATATGAAGGCTACCATAACTAGCCTCACCTCTTGGAAATACCGGTGTCCTGATCATGTCAATAGTGGCTAGCGGTAATCCTGAGTGGCTTGGTGTTAATTTACAGTACCAAAAGCAGTAACCCCGAGCCACACTCTGGATTTACACTGTAGTGTGTGGTGTAACTTGCCTTGTCCCTGCGATCTGCCGGTGTCCTCCGGCCTGTGTCGGCATCTGGGTTCCCTTCCCTGCGAGCGCCGATGGGGGGGGGGCGTAACCGGCGGGAGATTCAAAAAAGTAAAAAACGTGACATACACACAATACATTGTAATCTGTTAGGCTTACATTACTGTATCAAACTATTTCACCTCAGTTTTGTCCTGTGCCCCCCTGCCTGCAGTTTTACCAGTTCTCTGAAATTTCCATGCAAAACAATGTACCGCTTTGACATTCCAATATATTGACCTACTCAGACTTCCTGGGAGGTTAAGTGGAAGAACAGCCCAAGGCTAACTATGCTTAAAAATATTCCATCCCCCTCCTAACCTGTAGTTTTAATCTGGTCACATGGTCCTGCAGCTCCAGGTCACCTGTTGAGTGGCTGCTGCAGGGAAGAGAAGGAAGCGCCGACAACACCTAAGCTATGGGTGAACATCATGGCTCATGGAATTCACAGCTGTTGTGTGCTTCCTGATCTTGCGGCTTCAGGATCACATGACCAGGCTGGAGCAGATTAAAAAGGAAAGTACACACGTTTTTGCAGGATGGGTAGGAGTGGAGGGAATATTTAGGAATGGTTAAACTTAGTGTTTTTTTTGGGACAAGTGTGAAAATGGCTTTGGACATTCTTGACTACTTCTGATGTGTAATAGTTTTTTAGTTGGTGATTAAAGTATTGAAGCCAGTGTGGTCTACATAAGCAATGGTAGTAATCCTAATAATTTCATGATTGGTTTACTTTAGGCAAGCCTATTTAGTCAAAATGGTTGAAACAAAATGTTGCATATGGTACCTCCCCCCTTTCTTTACTACTATAAGGACGGTCCGATTTGATCCAACAAATATCTGTCATGGGTGCACTGTCTCTAAGTCTTGTGAATCAGGGATTTGGAAAATTCCCACTTATTTGCTATACTAACTAAATTTTATTCCCAGGGTAATGATGGTTGCAAAGAAGTTTCTTGACGCCGGACACAAGCTCAACTTTGCCATTGCCAACCGCAAATCCTTTGCACATGAGGTGACCGAGTTTGGTTTGGATGCCAGTACTGGTGACGTTCCTGTTGTTGGAATCAGAACTGCTAAGGGAGAGAAATATGTAATGCAGGAGGAATTTTCGTAAGTGTCTGGAATCTTTGGGCTTTCTTATAAGTTTAAGTGCTATTGTTAAATGTTGCCTTACCCCGAAAGATGTCGGGCAGTTTGGAGATAGAACTTGGGTCTATGGGCTAGAACAGCAATGGGCAAACTACGGCCCGCGGGCCGTATACGGCCCGGCGGACCTTTTAATCCGGCCCGCGGAGCGTGATACTGTCAAGATGGCTGTCAGGATGTGTGTAGGCGGGGCAGCGTGACGAACGTGAGTGGAGCTAGGCTCCTCTCACAGTCCGCCCTGAAGACCGGAACGGCGCGGGAACACGGCGAGAGGAACGCGCGGAGCAAAGGTAAGTAAATTGACACGGTGGGGGACTTGGCTTACTACTGGGGGGGGGGGGGGAATAGTACTATGGGGGATGAAATACTATGAGGGATGAATTAATGTGGGGGGGATGAATTAATGTGAAATTAATGTGGGGGGGATGAATTAATGTGGGGGGGGATGAATTACTATATCTACTCTTGGTCCGGCCCCCGGGTCCAATATATGAACCCATTGTGGCCCTCAAGTCAAAAAGTTTGCCCACCCCTGGGCTAGGAACAGCATGCACACAGTACAGCATAGGCGTCTGTAGCAGTGCTTTGTATGAAGTCAAGATGGTGTGTAGGCTCAGGGCTGTGGAAAGTGGGTGTTCCTGTATGCAAATTAAGTTTGAGTGGGTGGATGGTGAGGGAAGAGGGATTGGCAGAGAGGGGTAGCAGACACTGAATGGTTGGTAAGGTGGATGAGCCTGGCAGCAGTATTCATGATTGACTAGAGGGGGGATAGTCTATGTAAAGGTAATCCCATGAGGAGGGAGTTGCAATAGTCGAGAGATGACCAGGGAATGAATTAGGAGCTTTGTGGCATCATTGGTTAAAAAAGGGACGTATTCTGGAGATGTTGAGTGGTATAATTTGGACAGGGATTGGATGTGGGCCTGAAAGGATAGTTCTGAATCCAGGGTTACCCCTAGCACCCTGGCATGCAGGGACGGGTTGATAGTGGTGCTATTGATCCTGACAGAGAAATCCGGGGAAGAGGCACGTGGGGGAGGAAATATATTATGAGCTCAGTTTTGGATAGATTGAGTTTTAGGAAGTGGTGTGACATCCAGTCTGTCTATTTTGCAAATCTGTGATAATAGAGGAAACTGATGGGGTGAGCTGAGGAGTAGAGAGATTTGTCTCATCAGCATACAAATGGTATGGAAACCATGGGAAGCTATCAGCTGACTCGAGAATAGGAGAGGTCCAAGGACACAACCTTGGGGGACCCTGACAGTAAGAGTAGGAGAGGAGGAAGTAGAGTTGACACTGAAGGTGCGGTGAGATAGGTAAGATTCGAACCAATAGGGACAGTACAGTCACGGAGACCAAGTAAAGAGTTTTTTGAGAAGGAGAGGGGTGGTCAACTGTGTCAAAGGCAGCGGAGAGGTCCAAGAGCAAGAGTATCGAATAGTGACCATTGATTTTAGCGGTTAGGAAGTAGTTTGTGAGTTTTAGGAGGGCAGTTTCTGTGTTGTGGTTGAAATCCAGACTGAAGGGGATTGAGAAGGGTATTCTCAATAAGGTGGCAGCTCAGCCGGTTGCAGACTAGACGTTCAAGGTGTTTAGAGGCAAAAGGGAGGCAGGAGATGAGTCTTAGATTGGTGGGATCCAGTGAGGCTTTAAGTATGGGGGCGACTAGTGCATGTTTTAGAGAGTTGAGGGAGAGATTGAAGATATGAGTTAGTGAAGGATAGAGCCGAGGATGACCGCAGTATTTGCGAGGGAACAGGGTCCAGGGGAAAGGTGGTTAGGTGGGCTTTAGAAAACCATTTACCAACCTCCTCTATAGTAGCTGGGTTAAACAAGGGAAGTATAGCTTTTGCAGGTGGACAAGGAGTGTAGAGAGGGAGATATCTGTACAGTGGAGATCTCTTCAAATATATTTTCAATCTAATTTTTTGAAGTGATTACTCATCTCCTGGGCAGTAAGTGAGTGGGTGGAGGTAAAGGATGAAGTAGTTAAAGGTAGAAAAGCGTTGATGGGGATTGCATGAGTGTTATTGAGAGTGATAATATAGGTCTGTTTGGCAGTGTGGAGACAAGAATGGTATTTTTGAAGGGCAGATTTATATTGGTTGAGTCTTTCTGGGTCTTAGTCTTACGCCATAACCGCTCCAGAGCACGGCTGCGTTTTTTGAGGCATCTGGTATTGTCTGTTTGCCAGGGCTGTAGCAGTTGGGGCCTGATTCTGTGTAGTGAGGGGGGCCAATGTGTCTATGGTGGATGACAGTGAACTAATGTAGACAGAAGTGGCCAGGTTAGGACAGGACTGAGATTTTGTCAGACAAAGTTGGTTAAGGGTTAAGATAACGAAGGCTTCTACCGGTAACTGTTCGGTAGTTGGAAGACAAGGTGGAAGCCAAGGAAAGAGTGAAGCTAATAAGGGAGTGAACAGAGGGGAAAAAAAGTTTGGTGCGGTTGCAAGGAGTGCATAGGGAGAATACAAGGTCGAGGCAGTTACCATTGGATTGAGTAGAAGCATGTTCATTGTTTCAGGTAAAAAAAGTAGTTGGGCTCAGAAGTTTAGAGGTAGCAGGAGTAGACAGATGTACTAAACAGTAACCCTAGGTTCACATCTGTGCGGGCGGTGCCGCTGCGGATCCACACGAAAATCCGTGCAGCCGCACCACCCGCACAGAGAAATGCGGACCCACAGGTGAGTGCCATTAGTTCTAATGGCACGCCGTGCGCACTGGAAAACGCAACCGTACTGGAAACGAGGTTCCCATGCGGTCTGCATTTTTTCCAAAGTGCAGGACTTCTTCTCTCCGCGTCACAGGCACGGAAGTCCATTCAAATGAATGAGCTCTCGTGCCTGTGCAAAACGTGGCCCGCACGGCCACATAGATGTGAAACGGCGGTAAAGGTCGGGTGATCCTTATTTTTACTAGAACCTGTAATTCCCTCTTCCTATTCCTTGTTGAAGCATTTTTTGCAAGTCTAAATCTGAATTTGTTTTGCCTTCATAGTCGTGATGGAAAAGCAGTGGAGCGCTTCCTTCAGGATTACTTTGATGGTAAACTGAAGAGATACATGAAGTCTGAGCCATTCCTGAAAACAATGATGGCCCAGTCAAGGTGAGAGCAACTGTGTTTACATTGGCCTTTTAGCTCTTAGCATGTTTTCCTTAGTGCTTCTGGGGATTTTTCTGGGCATGCCTAGAGTGGGTTAGTCATTGCTACAATGGGAATCACCTAGAAATGTATACTTATCGAGACCAGTTCAGCACTTGTCCTTTACTGTGCTATCCTAGATTTAAAGTGTACATGTCACTGTCTGCCAGAGCCCTGAATTAATCACTTCCGCACCGCCCTATAGCAGAAATACTACAGAGCGGCACGGCTGCGTGGGGTGCGCACCCTTCCCGCGCTGTCACTGGGTCCCGGCCAGTGATTTCTTGCTGGCACCCGTGATCACCGAGTAACTCCAACGGGGGAGAGATCTGTGTATAAACACAGATCTCTTCCCTGTCAGCTCCTGCACACTGCTTTTGTCTTTGTATGGCTCTGTATTCTGCTATACGCTGTAAGCAGTGTGCTTACAGTGAAACACAGCCTCCCCCTTGATGGCCCCACATGCTAACCCCTTCCTGCCCAGTGCCAAATAGTACAGTGTCAGTGCTTTTTGTTAGCACTGATCACTATATTGGTGTCACTGGGGATGTCAGTGACACGAAGTCAGTTCCCCCCAGTGTCATAATGTCTGCTGCAGTCTTGCTATAAGTCGCTGATTGCCGCCATTACTAGTGTAACAAAAAATCCATTATTTATACCGCAGTCTGTAAACGCTATAACTTCCACATAAACTAGTTTTTTTTACACGTATTGGGCATTTTTCATATCACAGAATACATTTTGGCCTAAGTTTGACAATTTGATTTAATTTTTTTTTACTGGACATGTTTAACTCTTGCCGACCGCGCATAGCCGAATGACGGCTTCACCGGGCTGGCCAGTTCTGAGTGGATGTCATATGACGTCCTCCCAGAACGCGCTCTCCTGCGCGCCCCCAGGGGCGCGCACCGGCAATCTCCGTGATCGCTGTGTCCTACGGACACAGCTGATCACGTGATGTGGTGAAAGGCCGATCCCACCGCCTTTTACCGCGTGTGATCAGCGGTGTCCAATGACACGCTGATCACAGGGAAATGCAAGTGCCGGTTCTCGGCTGCACTTTCCTCACGCTGTCAGATCGTGAGGAAAGTACTGCCGAGAACCGGCAGTTGTCAGAGCGGGGATCGGCATCCGATCATCAGGGCACTGATGATCAGTGCCCTGATGATCGGTGCCCAGCAGTGACACCCGCAAGTTCCGCTTGCGCCCACTAGCCCCGCCCAGCAGTGCACCCACCTGTGCCCAGCAGTGCCCCCAGCAGTGCCCCCACCTGTGCCACTCTGCAGTGCTACCCTGTGCCCAGAAGTGTGCACCTACATGTGCCCACCTGTGCCCACCCACCTGTGCCGCCCACCAGTGCTGCCAGTCAGTGCCACCAGTCAGTGCCCAGGGTTGTGCAGTGCCGCCAGTCAGTGCCCAGAAGTTGATGCCAGTCAGTGCCGTCTATCAGTACCCATCAGTGCCGTCTATCAGTACCTATCAGTGCCGCCTATCAGTGCCGCCTATCAGTGCCGCCTATCAGTGCCGCCTATCAGTGCCGCCTATCAGTGCCGCCTATCAGTGCCGCCTATCAGTGCTGCATATCAGTGCTGCCTATCCGTGACCCCTAATTAGTGCTGTCTATCAGTGCCGCCTATCTGTGCCACCTCATTAGTACTGCCTATCAGTGCCCTTTAGTGATGCCTATCAGTGCCCATCAGTGCCGCCTCATCAACGCAAATCAGTGAAGGAGAAAAAATACCGGTTTGAAAAATTTTATAAAAGAAACAAATAAACTTTTTTTTTTTTCAAATTTTTTGCACATTTTTAAAAAAGTAAAGTGCCCAGTGGCGATTAAATACCACCAAAAGAAAGCTCTATTTGTGAGAAAAAAATGATCAAAATTTTATGGGTACAATGTTGCATGACCGCGCAATTGTCAAAGTGCGGCAGCGCTGAAAGCTGAAAATTGGCCTGGTAAGGAAGGGGGTATAAGTGCCTGGTAGGCAAGTGGTTAATAGCAAAAAACTAAAAAAAAAAATTCCCAATTGTTGGTCTTTTTTTGTTTAGCGCAGAAAAAACGCACAGGCGATGAAATACCACTGAAAGAGAGCTCTATTTGTGGGGGTGGATGTAAATTTAATTTAGGTGCAGCGTTGCATGACAGCGCAATTGTCAAGTAACGCAGTGCTGTATTGCAAAAAAAATTGCCTGGTCAGGAAGGGGGGTAAATCCTCTGGAGGGCAAGTGGTTAAAATCCCTTTGTAAGCGCTATATCAGTCTGTTAAAGCTTACTCCAGGGATTGACGTCTCCATCCCCTTGTGACAACACTCAAGCATAGATTGGCTGCTCAGGTGCCAAGCATGCATTGTAATGAATATGCTGGTCATCCCGAGAGCCTAAACTTTCAGTTTGAGCCCTTGTCCCCTGTTTCAATATGTACTGCATCTTACCAAGCCTCTACTAATATTGTTAGAATGGGTTTTGGCTTATTCTACTTTGTGGTTATATTTACCACTTCCATACCGGGCACTTTTACCCCTTTCCTGCCCACGCTAATTTTCAGGTTTCGGCACTCACACTTTGAATGACAATTGCGTGGTCATGCAACACTGTACCCAAATTAACTTTCTTTTGGTGGCATTTAATCACCACTGGGGTTTCTATTTTTGCCAAATTAACAAAGACAAGAAAAATGTGGGGATGTATTCTGCTACATTTCTTTGAAAATAACCCAAATCAGTATTTAGTCTGTAGGAAGGTTAGAGCTCACAAACTATGGGATATATCTGAAAATTGATCAATCCTGAAGTACTGACGGCCAATCTAGTTTCTTGAGGCCCAAAAATGTCAAAACCGTACAGATCCTCCAAATGACCCCTTTTTTGCAAAGTAGACAGTCTGTTGTATTTCATAAGAGGTGAGTTTTTTTTTTTTTTTTTTTTTTTTTTTTGGAAGCTGGAAAAATGAAGAAATTAAAAACATTTTCACAATTTTTTTTTTTTTCCCATACTGTCACCAGTGCAGTACAGCGTCATCCTGTAACTGGTGTGGCAGTGATCAGGGACACTGGTGACAGTATGAAAACTATTTGTTCAATTTTTATTACATTTTTCTCAAGATTTATTTTTTTCATATTGCACTGATTAAAGTAGTATGTTACCATTGTACTACTTTGGGGAAGTGATCTTTTTTTTTTTTTTTTTTTTTTTTTTTACACTTTTGATTGCTTATAGCAATATTGCTATAAGCAAGCATTTAACTGATATGAAATCTATTCATTCAGGTTTTTTTTGTGATTAGCTGTGATTAACCATGGCAAATCACATGACACGGGCTGTGATTGACCCAGGCTGTGCATGTGATCACTGCGACCATTCACAGCTAGACACACTTGTAAACAATGGATGGCTTTCTTTCATGCCATCCATTGTATACAACTATCATGTGACCTGCTGTGATTGGTCACATGCTACTGGCAACGGGGCCAGTACACAGATCTATCATTGGCTGTGTCTGAGGTACACAGCCGGTGACGGATCTCGCCACAGCACAGCCCTGCTGGCACGCGCAAGGCGCTTTCCTGGAAGGATGTTATGACACCCTCCCAGAGGCCCGGCCGTCATTTTACTATAGGCTGGGCGGGAAGTGGTTGAATACATTTGAATACATGTAACAATTTGTATAAAATAGTAAGGTGGAAGAAGTGTCTTTTGTCAAAAGAAAGGAGATACAAACCCAATGTCTAAATCTACTGCTCCTGATAGTGACATAAGGGGTGCTTTGGGTACAAGGAGAGGTAGATGGCATTAGTCTGGCTCATGATCACAATGGCTTACCTCACACATTTATAGTCTGTTTTTTTATGTTCAAGAATACAAAACCATGTAGCCCTTACCCCCAAAATATATAGTACAGATAATTACTGATGCACCGATGAGTATTTTCAGAAGTACCACCGATGCCTTAACTGACATTTTGCGATGCAATTTGCATAAATGGACGCAAATTTCACTGCAAAGATTAGCATGCGATGTGAACAGGAATGAGATTCCTGTCCAAATCCCATGTGGTTTTCCCCCCTGCTCCTGTGTAAACTGAGGTTCGTCATAGCGGAGTTTGCACAGGAGCAGTATGTGAGACCACCCTGCAGGCATCCCATGCTTGGCGTCAGTGGTAGGAGAGGAGAGAAAGCGGCGGGGAATTGAAATTCCCGCCACTTCTCTCCTTGCAGCAGTGACAGTTCAGCAGCTGACCAATCAGATGCCATCTAGCCCAATGGGGCTAGACACGCCGCACCACAAAGTATATGCATTCAGTAAAGGTGTGTACTTGATCGAAAGTATCGGTAGTTGCACTCGCCGATTTTAAGAAAAAATCTGTATCTGTGCATCCCTACAGATCATACATGAAAGACATTATCATGCATAATTGTGTTCAGTGTATAAAATACAGTCCCAAAAGAACAATCCAACTTGTCCAATAGTGCTTCTTGATGTAAAGTCTGCATGAAGATGAGCAGTGCTGATAACTTATTACTCACCCAGTGCAAAAACCGTTCTTTATCCACCGGTGGACAGTACAGAAGAAATCAGCAGTTTACCAGATATAGGCCATCACTTTCACAGCAAATGGTGAGAGCGCTTTTAGGGTTAAGGAGACTGCCCACTCTGGACTCGGCCTCCACAATGTCTCAAAGTTAGTTTAAAAAAAAAAAAAACCATCCCATAGTGTAAAGCTGTATGAGAATTCCTTTAGAATGAAAGGATGTACACTCACACCATCCTGAAGCTTGAAATCAGATAATCCGCATTCCTGCGGGCTGCTCCATGTCCCTCCACTCATCCAATTACTTTGCGGTGCATGGCACTCCTGTAGGCCACACCCGACGTGTTGAGTCACAAATGTCAGGGGATGGGCCACCATGCAGTATGTTGCCTGCTCTTTGTGTTGGTATTAAGTGAATAGATACTGGGCCATCCCATTCATGATTGTCGGAAGCCCATTAGTTTAACCCTTTTACTGCAGCCTCTGGATTGCTTCCACATACTCCTGTATGTCTGTGCCTATTTGCATTTGGGGGTCACCCAGCCTTTACTGCTTAGTCCAAATCTGTCCACCATGTAATAGTTTTGTAGAGTGTTAGAAAAAACAAACTACACCCACAAACCTCTCTCCTGGCCGCGACCCCCCCCGACCTCTCTCCTGGCCGCGACCCCCCCCCCCCACGACCTCTCTCCTGGCCGCGACCCCCCCACGACCTCTCTCTCCTGGCCGCGACCCCCCCCCGACCTCTCTCCTGGCCGCGACCCCCCACGACCTCTCTCCTGGCCGCGACCCCCCCCCACGACCTCTCTCCTGGCCGCGACCCCCCCCCAACGACCTCTCTCCTGGCCGCGACCCCCCCCCACGACCTCTCTCCTGGCCGCGACCCCCCACGACCTCTCTCCTGGCCGCGACCCCCCCACGACCTCTCTCCTGGCCGCGACCCCCCCCCCCCCCCGACCTCTCTCCTGGCCGCGACCCCCCCCAGAAACCTCAATTACTTTTCGGGGACAACCCAAAATTTTTGATTTTTACCATCAAAAATGCGAGTAAATCTCTAACAATGGCAGCAGAACTTGACAAGTGTTCTAATCCCTCTCCACTCTTTCCAAAACTTTAAAAAATAAGTTTTGCCTTTAGTTATACATTTAAGCAGTAGTATACCACATAAAATAAGTCCCCCTGCAGAAAAGTATGTACTGCATACTAGCACATTATGACACTTACCTTTGGAACTGACCCCCCCCCTCATGGCACTGACTGGGAATCAATCTTCACCCGGTCTTCCTTCCAGGTCTGCTGGCTCCGAGTGGCCGAGCTGCAGTGTGACATTACATGTATGTGGCAGTCACGGGCAAAGCACAGTTCTTAATAGACAGCATGCTGTCCATTGAGAGTGCAGTGCGCTTGCGCTGGTGACGTCACTGGCTGCTTCACGTCTATCTCCTAAACGGCACACGTTCAGGAGAGATTTACACTACCTACAGGTAAGCCTCATTATATGCCCACCTGTAGGTATAAAACAACAAAGGGAGAGTTTACTCCCACTTGAAGCTATTTTTATTCCTTTTACGTATAGCTGTGTGGGTGAATCAAGGAACTTTTTTTTATTCCTTGGTTACTCAGGCTTGTTTTCTACTACTGAAGGTGTATGTGTGACCACAGGCGTCCTATTGACCTACCCTCCATCCATGGCGGCCAAGTCTGTATGCCATTTGCCATAGACCAGTTCAAATAGTTTCAGACTCCTAAGTTCTGATAATGGTGCGTTTGCATTACAGGACTGAACAGCTAGAATTCTGGGATAGTCGTAGCAGATCATGCTACTGCCCCAGCCTGTAATCCCTAGAGGTGTGCTAGGCTTTAGGAATTTGAGGAAAAAGTGATAACCTATTGTGTATTATGTGTAGTAAAAAAAATTTGGTGCTTCTCACGGGGGGTGGATTATGTTGGTTATGACTGTAATACAATCTCCTGTTTTTGTGGTCTGTGTCCCTCTTGGTGGGGAAGGGAGGAGAGGATAGTCTCTTCTCATTTTTTGTCTCTGGGACATAAAATCTCCCCATAGTGGGGAGTTTCCCCTTGTGGACAGCCATCACCGGAATATTTATCCCTGATTTAACCCCTGCCTGTCTAAAATTTTGCAATTCCACAATAGTCACCAGGGCAGATGGGGTGGAATCTTCCCAGTGAGGACACTGCAATAAATCTTTAGTGTCTAACCCTCTCCTACTTATCTAAAGGAATAAAATTCCTTCGCATACACATTAATTTCATCCACAAAATGGATCTAAGTTATGAATGACTTTCTGCTGAGTTTCTCACTGTAGAGTTTTGTTTTAAGGTGGTTGTGGCCGAAAACTTTGAGGAGCTTGTAAATGATGACGGCAAAGATGTTCTCATTGAGTTCTATGCTCCTTGGTGTGGACACTGCAAGAACCTGGAGCCCAAATACAAGGAACTTGGAGAGAAGGTATGAAACCCTCTGCACTGTACAATTATCTGCTGGCATGTCAGTGTGGCTGTCGTGCATGTCTTCCATGTGATTGTGGAGCACTTTATTGACCATTTATTTATTTTTTTAGTTGGCTGGAGATCCTAACATTGTTATTGCCAAGATGGATGCCACAGCCAATGATGTGCCACCATCCTATGAAGTCCGAGGGTAAGGACACTTCTTAGTCTGAAAGGGATGTAAGCACTAAACCCTAGTTCACATATATGTGGCCGTGTGGGCCGTGTTTTGTGCTGGCACGAGAGCCCATTCATTTGAATGGACTCCCGTGACACACGCAGAGAAGTCCCTGAACTTCTGAAAATGCAGCCCGCACAGGAACCTCTGTTCCCAGTACAGTTGCGTTTTTCCAGTGCGGTCGGCGTGCCATTAGAGTTAATGGCACCTGCCCGCAGGACCGCATTCCTCTGTACGGGTGGTGTGGCTGCACGGATTTTCGTGCAGATCTGCAGCGGCACCACCCGCACAGATGTCAACCTAGCCTAAATGTATGAAAACAATGTACCCTCTGTCATTGTATAGCAGTTTAAGGACTCGTTCGTGCTAGCAGTTGGGGGGCAGGAAAACCCTGCAGTTAAGCTATGCTTTTACTACCCCCAACGGTTAACACTCTTTAGCTGCAGAGCCAGCAGTCAAGTGTACACATGCCGTGGCAGAAATGTATACCCCCTAGCGCCCTGCAGGCGTAGTGCTTGCCAAACGAGACCCATTCATGTGAATGGGGCTGCTCTACAAGTGCCAAGTTAATCTAACGATCAATGTTAGACCGTGAGGAAGCTTTGTATTACTTCCTGCTAGATTAAATGTTCACTGAAGAGCTATCTGAACGTGGATTGCTTTTAACAGACCAAATCTTGTGTGAACAAGCCCTAAGCTCTTCTGATCTATGTATAATGTACTGTATATACCAAGCAGTTAAATCTCTAACACCTTTTTATATCCAAAAGCTTTTGAACGACTGTAGGATAGTAAAGCTGTTCTGCCATGTCTCTTGGTGTGAAAAATCAAATATATTTCACTGGGAAATGCCATAGCCCGCACCCCATGCATGTTCTTTGTGAATCTCAATGGGTGTTTCACTTTCTTGGAACTAGTGCACAGCCTAGTGGCTGACTATAGAAACTACTAACTTCAATGTACTATTATAATGGGTAGAAGCCTGCCTTGTCACAGAGCCGCACTCTGCTCTGACAGTATTTAACAGAATACAAATTATATTGCATTTGACATTAAGGCCTGGTTCACACTATTGCAGTTTTCAGATGTCACTTGAGCTGCACCAAATTGCATGCTGAGAGGAATCATGGTGTTTTCAATAGTGCCCATTCAGACTAATTGTCAATCGCATTACTGAATTGTGAACAGAGCCTAAAGGTACTGAGACTTAAGATGCTGCTTTTGGCATTTTTACTTTGCATTTTTTCTAGTGTTGTAAATATTTATTTAAGCCTTTAAAGCCCAACTCCAGGCTGGATGGAATGAACCTTTGCATTGAGGCCCCCTGCACTGAAAGGGTTATATGCTTGTTGCATTACTTTACCCCCTGCTCTGGCAGGCCCCAGCAAGGTTCTTTTCTCCCTTGGGTGGGGAGGGCAGTCCAACATCATACAATGCAAGGCTATTGTTTATGGAGGAGGTAGGATGTGACTGTGCCCAGGAGCACCTTAGAGAGAGGAAGATTTGTGATGGGGTGCGCTGCTGGAGGGTCTTGAGGGTGAAGAATAAGATCTTACACCAGCTTCTACCTCTTTGGGGAAAAATTTACACACTGCAGAGTGGGGTGACCCTACGTCTACTGCAAGGGTAGTTTGTCCCTGGTGAGGGTTTTGGGTTTTTTGTGGTCTGTTTACACACAGTCCTCCCTGTTTATTTTTTAAACTTATAGACCAACTTTCAGTATGAAATTAAATAACTGGCTTACTCGGTGGTTAGTTTTGAAGTCTGGGTTCAATAGGATCATCTACATCAGGTTATATTATAGGGGCTTAGGCATGAGGTCAGCTTGCTTTACTCAGCATAACATGTCCTATGATGGGAGCTTATGCTTCACCAGGGCATATTGGTGGACATATTTAACCACTTGCCCTCTGGAAGATTTTACCCCCTTCCTGACCAGGCCATTGCATTACTTTAACTGAAAATTGCTCGGTCATACAATACTGTACCTACATGAAATTTAGATCATTTTTTCACAGATTTCTTTTGGTGGTATATGATTGCCTCTGGGGTTTTTACAAACTAGGGGGTATATACTGGAATTTTTATTTATTTTTATACTAGTATGGCAGTGATCAGTGACTTGTAGCAGGGCTGTAATAGTATGGTGGTCAATCTGACACTCACTTTGTGGTAACCAGTGACACTAATACACTGATCAGTACTAATATACACTGGCACTGTACTAGTGACACTGGTTGGGGGGTGAAGGGGCAATCAAAGGGTGAACATCTAGAGGCAATCAAAGGGTTAAGTGGATGCCTTAACAGAGCTTTGCATGTGTAATTTTACTAGGGGATGAGCTGGTTTTTATTTCCTGGTTCGCAGGGATACAAAAATAGTCACGTCCCTGCTGACAGGGCAGAGCTCTAGATTTACATACAGAACTCTGTCCTATCAGCCTCTTTGCTGATCAGTGGGTACCAGCAATCTGTGAATCATTTGCCATGATTGGCTTGTGCAGTGTCTAAGCTCGGCGGGTGCACACGCCCCCTACCCAGAAAAGCTGAATCGCCTACTAGGTATGTGATCCAGCACAGAAGAGCCGCCTTGCTGCCGCACTTGTAAGTGAGTAGGTAAATCTATGGTCATGCAAAAATTTGTAAGAACTGTGCCGTATAAATGTGAATGTTCACACCACTGAAGTGCACTTTATGGTCAATGGGAGGCCATTTGGCTTTTTTACAGCACTTAATGGCCTTTTTTTCCCAGCAATTTGCTTTTTTCACCAGTTTAATTTGTGGTTTTTGTTCTAGGTTCCCAACTATCTATTTTTCACCCGCTGGAAGCAAGCAGAGTCCAAAGAGATATGAGGTAAGCAGTGTATTTATTCTACCATCAGGTAAAGGGCACCACCATGGGACATGGAAACTTCAGGCCTCAGTGTGGAATTGGGGGACATTCCAGTGACTCAAATCCCTTGTAAACTTCTGTATGGCTATCTGCTAATATTTAAAGCATGCATTTCTGGCTAGGAGTTTTTCACCCTGATTGCGTGGAATGACTTGTAATATTCACCACTGGAGAAGAGTTGCTCCTTCTCATAGGTTTAATGGTGCTGGGAAACTTTGACTTTACTTTCTAGACCTTGAACTGTTCTATGTGTTTCAGGGGCAGAGAGGTCAGCGACTTCCTTAGCTATCTGAAGAAGGAAGCTACCAATCCTCCAATTGTGAAAGAAGATGAAAAACCCAAGAAAAAGAAGAAAGAAGAGTTGTAAATGAGATTATGTCCTCAAATTGGCGTTTTTCCTCCAGGGCGGGGTTGTCATCCTGACATTATTGGGATCTACTGGGAAAACTGTGTGGACAGCAACACTTGCCTTCCTGAAAGGGGACATGGCAGTTGATTTAGAGATTTCTTCGATGCACTGTTGGAAACATCCAAGGACCTTACAAAAATTTGTGGCTTGTTGAGGGGGGCACCACTTTTCCATCTAGGTTGGGAGGGATAGGGTTGGGGGGGTTCTTCAATTTGATGGTATTGGTTTTTGTTAATTTTTTTTATTTTTTGTACATTTGAAACAAATTTGAAAATAAATACCCCTCTACCCTTTGTTTGCCTGTTTGTTTAGTATTGTTTAGATTGAGAGGACCAAGTCTATTGGATGTGAAATGTGGAAATTGGGTAGAATTTAGGAACCAGGATAAAAAAAACCTTCATGAGAATTTAGGTTTTAGAAATAATTTTAGATACCCCTTTGATGCACCAAAACCCTGACCACTCTATTTGGGGGGTTGCTGGCCAACTCTTAACTGATCAAAATTGTGGCTGGTTTACCAGGACTTGGCGTAATTTTGCTTCATCTATAGGAATGCTGGTTGTACTGATGTCAATCTAAGGATTGACTACAGTACAGCCAGTCAGTCGGTCAGGGTTTTTAGTTCTAAAGCTGCCAGCAGTGATCATTGTATTCTGATGGGAGTGCATAGGAAGACAGTATTGAGCATTACAGAAATGGACACTTGTACTGTGCCAAACATGGTTACTGACACTGCTGACCCCCTTATGGAAATGCTGCCTCAGTTTGTCATGGACCTGACCTAGTAATGCAGCTATTGAAGTCAGTACTGATCTGCATATTTGATCCAGTACCTTAGTACTTCAGTCATTTGACCCAGAACAGCAGGACCACTAGGGAACTAGCTTTTTCAGAAAGAGGTCAGCAACATCTACATATTTCTCTTGGCACAGATTGTTCTTAAAATTCAGTAGTACTATAAGAAATACTTTGCTACAACAGTCAAAGTTCTTTCTGTGTACCAATGACTCCTGAATAGGAAATCTAAAATACTAGATAAAAAGGATATAATAAAAAATGAAGCTGTGCCAAACTCAACAAGATTATAAGCAAAACAATATGAAAACAAAATATATTACATACATACAAAAAAATGAAAGGAATGCTTTGAAAACGCATCTCAATGGGGAAAAAAAAAATCTGGATATCTATACTGATATGGACTGGGTAATGTTAAGAATGTAAGGATGCCCCATCATTTTGATTTTTGGGGTTCCTTTGATGAAAATGATCAACCTTCAGAGGTCTGAATTCAAAGTGAAAAACATGATGCAGCAGGCTAGTCCATTTTGCTGAAATTTCACTGCAGGAACGCAAAATGGTCAGTAGTTTGTATGGCCCCCACGTGCTTGTATGCATGCCTGACAACGTCGGGGCATGCTCCTAATGAGACGACGGATGGTGTCCTGGGGTATTTCCTCCCAGATCTGGACCAGGGCATCACTGAGCTCCTGGACAGTCTGAGGTGCAACCTGGTGGCATCAGATGGACTGTAACATGCTATCCCAGAGGTGTTCTATTGGATTTAGGTCAGGTGAGTGGGGGCAATTCAATGGTATCAATTCCTTCATCCTCCAGGAACTGCCTGCATACTCTCGTCACATGAGGCCGGACATTGTCGTGCACCAGGAGGAACCCAGGACCAATGGCACCAGCATAGGGCCTGACAATGGGTCCAAGGATTTCATCCCGATACTTAATGGCAGTCAAGGTGCCATTGTCAGAACTGTGTCCCTCCATGGATATGCCTCCCCAGACCATCACTGACCCACCACAAACTGGGTCATGAAGAACAATGTTACAGGCAGAATAACATTCTCCACGGCTTCTCTGGACCCTTTCATGTCTTCACAGATGAGAGCAGGTTCAACCTGAGCACATATGACAAAGTACAGGGTGGCAGTGGTGGACCTGCCAATTCTGGTGTTCAATTGCAAATGCCAATCGAGCTCTATGGTGCACAGGGCTCACTAGAGGGCGTTGGCCCTCAGGCCAACCTCATGAAGTATGTTTGGTCAGACACTCACTCCAGTGGCCTGCTGGAGGTCATTTTGTAGGACTCTGGCAGTGCTCATCCTGTTCCTCCTTGCACAAAGGAGCAGATACTGGTCCTGCTGGTGGGTTAAGGACCTTCTACAGCCCTGTCCAGCTCTCCTGGAATCTCCTCCATGCTCTTGAGACTGTGCTGGGAGACACGGCAAACCTTCTGGCAATGGCATGTGTTTATGTGCCATCCTGGAGGAGTTGGACTGCCTGTGCAACCTCTGTAGGGTCCTGGTATCGCCTCCATGCTACCAGTACTGACAGACCCTAGCCAAATACAAAACTAGTGAACAGTCAGAAAAGATGAGTAGGAAAAAAATGTCCGTGGCCTCCACCTGTAAAACCTTTCCTGTTTTGGGGGTCATCCCATTGTTGCCCATCTAGTACACCTGTTAACACCAAAGCAGCTAAAACCAACAACCCCCCTCTGCTACTTAACTGACCAGATCAATATCCCAGGAGTTAATTGACTTGATCCTATACTGATTAAAAAGTGTTCCTTTAATTCTTTTGACTGTGGCTGGTAGATAATCACCGCTCAAAAAATTGGACACCAGTTGGACTGTTGCATTAGAATTGGACTTTTTGGGATTTTGGATTTCTTTTGTGACACATTATTTCTTGTTTTTTTATATTTATATTTTATTTTGTGACTGTCACGATTGCACGATTTTTGGTGAGCGCCTACTTTTTATTAATTGCACATTGATAAAAAGGAGAGCCTTACTACTTTGAAAGGCACTGGGTGAAATATTCTTTAAACATAGTTTGTGGTTCTTGTTAGTTATATTAAGTGCTGCGCAGTAAGTTGTAACTGCAATCACAAGGTCAGTCCTGTCTGTGGCCACCAGTCCATATTTTACACTATAGGTAGTCCTTTTGTTTGCACACAGTCCCATCAGATCTTAGGGTCTGGTAGCCCTTTCTGAATAAACAGAATTTTCCAGTGAGTTAAGTGCAAGGAAAGAGTGCATGTACTACATAGTAACAGACTAAATGGTGTTTGAATACAGGCGTTCATATTTACACTATAGATTGTTGGTGTATTGGACTGTTCATCTCATGTTTTCTGATTTGTTACAATTACCACACAGCACTTGAAAACTTGTGTGATCTGGTAAAGGTTAAAAAAGACGACGGAGAACGTGGTCATCTGGAATACTTTTGACACAAGCAGCCCAAATCCATCATTAATTTCCATTCTACAAAACATTTTAAGGTTTCAGGGATATCGGTTGCTCTGCTTTCACGTATAATTGCACTACTTGTGATATCTGTAAATGTCTAAACCTGTAAAGAACCTATTGCATCATTGGAATAACATTGATTTCATACTGTAAAGGAAGTGATTAAAGGCCAAGTTTACCTAAAACTAAAATGAAGAAACCATACAAGGGCCATAATTTACAGGTGGCATCACGGGTCCCTTGTCAAGATCCTTCTACTTTCAGTATGGACCTTGCTCTGTCCAAGCCCCCCAATGCCAAGATCTTCTGATGTGGTGGGGGTGAGTACAACTAATGGGCAGTCAGATGTTATCAAGAGTTTGACTATTCCTGCATTTTCCTGCCCGTTTGATCCACCATTCATAGAAGTCATACTACAGCATCTATAAATGATGCAGAATCTCTGAATGGAGGGGAGGGGGGGGGGCTTTAAGAGGTGGTGGTTAGACCAGCCTTTCTCAACCAGGGTGCCTTGGCAAAATACCTGTCTAATTGCCCAAAACTTGTATAGCAGCCTGCCTTTTAGTTACACAAAGCCATGGGTTTTCATAGTGCACCATTACGACCTTCTAGCCGCCAGCGTCCTGACAGCCAATGACATCAGTTGATAAGGAGGATGTCAGTTGCCTGCACAGCATCCTAGTTTGACCCTCCCCTGCCCCTCTCCATCAATGCTGAGGTCACATTAACTCAGTGATGGAGAAGAACTGAGGGACAAGAGAAACCCTGGAATACTACTCAGTACCAGTGTGCAAAAATGTATTTGCTTTGGAAGAATAAATCCTCTCTAATGTTGGGTGTCCTACACAGTGCTCGGAGGAAGAGGTTGTGTCCTCGAAACGCGTTAGCCAGTTGGACATCCAGGGTTCCATCGTATGGATTCAGATGTTTGGATCATACATCTTGTTCAGTCTGACATGCCTGTGTTTTTGTCTATTGTGAGTATGATACTTTGTTTCTTCAATAAATATTTTAAATGATAATGCACTAGGTCAGTGCGCCCTTTCTCTGTTTTTCCTCCAGAGTTTTCTAGGGGTTCCTCGAGTAATGGGAAGTTTTTGCCTTTGAGATAAGTGACCACTGACACCATTGATCTTTTTAGCGATCTATGATGGGAGGCATTCTTCATGCTGACCCCAAATATGAGAGCATTCTTCCTGTTGACCATCACACTAATGTACCAAGAGCTGTAGATAGTCATTATTAGCAGGGGTTGCCTACAACCATAAAGTTATTTCATGGGTTCCTCTGTTAAAAATGGTTTTTAAAGGCTACTTTAGAGGGTGGGCAGATGTTTAAGCTTGGTCCAGCCACCCTCAGGCATTAGAATGGTTTAGAGCAGGGGTGTCCAACCTTTTGACTTTCCAGGGCCACATTGGAAGAAGTGTTCTAGGGCAGCCTTTTTCAACCAGGGTGCCTTGAGGTTTCTTCAGGGGTGCCTTGGCAAAATGTCTAAAAATTGCCCAAAAAGTGTATACAAGCCAACGGGTGGGACAAGCTTGCCTTTTAGTTACACAAAGCCACAGGTTTTCATAGTGCACCATTACGACCTTCTAGCCGCCAGTGTCCTGACAACCAATGACATCAGTTGATAAGGAGGATGTCTGTTGCCTGCACATCCTAGTTTGACCCTCCCCTGCCCCTCTCCAA